ATAAATAAATAAATAAATAAATAAATGTACTACTCATTAAAGGTTTGGTTTTTCTTTTTTTTTTTGTCTTTTGTCTTTTTCTGTGTCCGGCAACGGATCGCAACCCTCAGTGTTGCCCCCGTACCGGACCGGGGACCGGCAACAGGATTGCAACCCTCAGTGCTGCTCCCACGCCTCGCTCAGCCAGTGAGCAGGAACCGGTCTCCACATGGGATCCGAACCCTTGGCGGGAGTGCCGCCACGCTCCCAAGCGGCGCACTCTCCAGTGTGGCACCGGGCCGGCCCAGTACATTTATTTAGAGAGCACCTTTCTTTGAAGAAAATGGAAATGCTTTAACTTCTTTATTTGGTTTCACTATTTATTTAATGTACATCTTAAATGTCTCTGGCTATGTCATTATTTGCTATGTACATTTATTTAGAGAGCACCTTTCTTTGAAGAAAATGGAAATGCTTTAACTTCTTTACTTGGTTTCACTATTTATTTAATGTACATCTTAAATGTCTCTGGCTATGTCATTATTTGCTATGATATGTAAACTCCTAAGGGCGAAAATGAAGTCTGCTTCATTTATTTTTTAGAGCACCCAGAAAAATGCCATGACCGAGTAGGTTTTAAATCCATTTGTATGCTGTTATTGTGGACTGGAATATAAACTATGTCCCATACTCATAAAATATTATATTGTTCTTATTTTAACCTTTTAAGGCCAGAAATCTAATGAAACCTCTCCATTAAAGCAGCATTGAATGTCCTTGTGTGTAGTACAAAGGCATATCTATTGGTTGTTTTAAATTTTAAAAATATTAATATGAATTGACTTTCTATTACAAAAGTCTGTCCAGTGTAGAAAATGTAAAAAATGTTGAAAACACATGGAAGAAATGAAAAGTTATCTTTAATTCCCATGTTAGAAGATAATCACTTTGAGCATCTTGGTATTTTTTCCTATGTGATTCATCTTAAGGTATTATTAATATTATTCAATACTGAACTAATTTTAAGACTTTCAGAATGTTTCTCCTCACTGTGACTCCCATCCTTTTAGTTAGTGATCCTGTGTTCTTTCCAGTAAGACTTATTGTTTTGTTACATTTCAATGTATTGAAGCATGTTGTGAGTTAAAGGAAAGAGTTTGCCATGAGCTGCTAGTGACTTACTCCAGTTTGAAAGGAAACTTGTGGTTACCATGAGGGAAAATTTAATCCATATTGCCCCAGTGCATTTGTTCTCCTGAGAACCAGGTGAACTACCTCTGACTATTTCCCTAGGATTATGTCACCCACCAGGGTAACTTTCTGTTTCAGTAGGTGATGTTAAGAAACAAAACAACACCCTTTAAGCTAATCAGTTTTGGAAAATAGAGACTGGCTTTATACTCCATGGCTTTGATGTGTTTAGTAGTTCCTGTAAGGAACTGCCTCTCTTTGGTTTTGATTGATGAGACATTTCCTATATATTTGAGCAATCGAGCAGCCCAGTAACAGAGGGTAGAGACATTTGCTCAGAGCAAACTTTTACCACTCATTGTGACTTTCTGAAATCTTGGGTGCAAGTTTCAGTGCTAAAAGAAGCGTTGGCTCCAGCAAGATTAGGTAAGTGCTTCTCCATATTTGTAACTTCATTCCACCTGAGGGGAAGCCCAGAGAACCTGCTACAGTGACAGGTCGGTAGTAGGAACTGCGAGATCGGGTTTGGAAATAAATAATTTCACAGCCTGTTTTAAGCCATAACGAATTATTGTTTTTGGTGGTGGTGGTGGGTCCTAAAAATGCGCTGTCCTCCTTACTTCGACATCTGTCCAGTGGGCCAAGCATGAAGGGATGATTCTGGCTCCTGAGAAGGAGCACAGGAAATGACCAAGACCCAGAGAGCACAGACTTGGCTGTAGGTTGGATGTTTTAAATACCTCCTATGCTTTCCATCATTTGGATTTAAACAGAATCACAGCTAGGTGCTATTACATTGGAAGCATAGATCAGAGGCAATTTGTAGTGAGTTAGACACATCTTTAAGAATGGCCACCAGGTCAAGTGCCAGGTTTCCTAGTATCTTCTGCATATCTATGCTTTGTGGTGGGTTGGGTTAGTAACAATACATAGAGGGAATACTCCTGTTAATATTTATCTTCTTTCCCCTATTCATTCCCCATCCATGACACTGAAAATATAATTTTGAGCAAAGCAGGTAACATGCACCAAAATACCCTGGACCTCAATAAAAATAATTGGTGTGTTTTCAATGTATTATATTAGGATTTGCATTACTTTTAGCATTCATTTTGAAGAGACCATCGAGACAAACTTCTTTAATATACCAGTCAACTCCAGCAATTGTGTCACAGTAAGGGAAAACTTGACAATGCCCTTACAGGGTGTCTGGAGAGCACAGTGGGTCCTTGGAATCCATACTGAAGCCTGTTACAGGAAGCTTTGGGCACCTGTATTGGAGTTCGTGAGCATTTACAATTTCTTTGCTTTGTTTTTTTGCATTTAAAATTTCTTGTCTCCTTTTTCCTGAAATGCTAAGAGCAAGGTCCTTTTGATAGCAATCGACATGTTGGCTGCCCCATCAAGGGCAGCTGGGTCTGTTAAACTCTCTTTCCTTTTCCTCTCCAAGGAATAGCATGAAGTTGGCGTACCTTTTCCTTGGCCCCATGGCCTTCCTCCTTCTGGCTGGCTGTGGCTGTGTCCTCAGCACCTCCAGCGGGAACCTGAGCACCTTTGTGGGCTGTGCTGTGAGGGAGTTTACTTTCCTGGCCAAGAAGCCAGGCTGCAGGGGCCTTCGGATCACCACGGATGCCTGCTGGGGCCGCTGTGAGACCTGGGAGGTGAGTCGCTAAGACATGTGCTGGTGGTGATGCCTTCAAGGACAGCCACTTGAGCCTGACTCTAAAGCGTTTATTGTTTTAGTGATATGAGGGTAGAACTGGGGCATCTTCCCTTTCCTGTGGATTAAAAAAAAAAAATCCCCCAAACAATGATTTGGCATCTTCCAAAAATGATCTGAAAGAAATGTGATGTTAGTGATATGAGGGTAGAACTGGGGCATCTTCCCTTTCCTGTGGATTAAAAACAAAAAATCCCCCAAACAATGATTTGGCATCTTCCAAAAATGATCTGAAAGAAATGTGATGTTGCCCCTCTAACAAAGCATTGATGAGATTAATAATTTCATTTACATGGTGTCTGTATATGTGGGATTCATCTCTGGGGGGTCAAGGTGTGCTACTATTCTACCCATGTTCCAGCTGACAAGGAGGGATTCAAGAGGTGAGTGGCTGCAAAATCATGTACAGTCAGTGGAAAGTTGGGAATACATGTTTTGTTCAAGCCTTTGATCAAAACTCCTCCTTATATTCCCTCATGGGTGATAAAGTCAGCCAGTTACCAAGAGAGAGGCCCTAAGCTGAGTGGTGAGTGAGGGTCAGTCCCAGGCCCCTCCGTCAGTGCCTCTCCCACACCACTGTGCCCTCAATTCCCCCGGATCCTCCATGATTATCACTGGCAGATCCATTAAATCCCTTTAGAATTCACTTATATCTGGCCTTTATAGAGGCATTGCATTTAACATGGGAATAAACATCTCAAACACTGAATCCTACTGGGCTGAGATGAGGGGCTGTTTGAGGGGTGAAGAAGAGGGCCATTAGCACCCGTCAAATCCCACCACGGTGATGACTGACTCTTCTCACTGAGACCCACGTTGGTGACTGATGTGGTACCAGCTCTGCCTGTCGCTCCCTAGCTCAGAAACCTTTCATGACCACCTGCTACTGCAGATCCATAACCAGCTTTCAAGGTCCTCAGCAATAAGGCATCTGCCTGCCTTCCTGGGCACTGCACATATTCTTAGATCTGGCCTTGTCAAGTACAGGTTTTATTAAATAGCCCTCGTGAAATCTCATTTTGGTCCTTTATTCACATCCCTTCTCATTTCCATCTGTCATTGTCACATGCCTGTCTCCAGTGCCAACTCTGTGGAGCCTTCTCTGACTCCCTGGCAAACCCTTGGCTATTCTCTACCTTTTGTCTAACTTCCTCCCCCATACACAAGATTTTAAGATTTTTGAGGGCAGAGAGGTCATTCTTGTGACTTTGACAGCTTTTGTCAAAGTGTCGTGTATGAAACAAGGCATTCAATAAATATTTGCTGAATTAAATGGGATTGAATCCTACCTGGAGTTGTATATGCTCTAACCTAGAGGAAGCCAACTTAGAAGCACATGAGCACCACGAGAGGACACCACCATCAGGAAAACTGTCCTTCTCTTCAGGGACTCAGAGAGCAACCTGCTATCACTTAGACAAAATTACGGCCCTATGAATGGAATTGGGTTATGGTGATGAAATCTCTGAATGAAATGAAACTACTCCAATCAATCAGGGGCTCGAGACCTAATAGCCAAATGAAACAAATTAGCTTTAGTTTTGCATCAATCAGGGGCTCGAGACCTAATAGCCAAATGAAAATTCAGTTTTTCTGAGTATACTTTGTCTGTCAGTTGACATCGAACTTACTCAGGGGACTTTAGTCCCTTCTCATATTCAGGACATGGCCTGGCTGTGCCTCTCTCTGCTCACATTTCATATCTGGGCTGTTTGGAGCTCTTTCTGTGCCAAATTCTCAAACTCCTGTTTCCCCTCTGTTCAGCCCAGTGTTTTCAATGTATTATATTAGGATTTGCATTACTTTTAGCATTCATTTTGAAGAGACCATCGAGACAAACTTCTTTAATATACCAGTCAACTCCAGCAATTGTGTCACAGTAAGGGAAAACCTGACAATGCCCTTACAGGGTGTCTGGAGAGCACAGTGGGTCCTTGGAATCCATACTGAAGCCTGTTACAGGAAGCTTTGGGCACCTGTATTGGAGTTCGTGAGCATTTACAATTTCTTTGCTTTGTTTTTTTGCATTTAAAATTTCTTGTCTCCTTTTTCCTGAAATGCTAAGAGCAAGGTCCTTTTGATAGCAATCGACATGTTGGCTGCCCCATCAAGGGCAGCTGGGTCTGTTAAACTCTCTTTCCTTTTCCTCTCCAAGACTCTCACAGGAGAAACTGAGGCACCAAGACCATTGAAGAACAGGATTCTCCCTAATTTTAGGTAGCTTTTATTTATGCCTTTACTCAGTTATGAAAAGGGAGGATACCCACAGAAAATAAATAAAACAATGAGATTCATTTTTCCAGTCATCTGAAAGTTTATGAGAGCACTATCCAGTGCGCCACCGGGCCGGCCCCTATTGGAGCTTACTTTCTAGAAAGGGAGAAATATCACACAAATGAATAAAAGATCTGTCACGTGGTATTGATTAGTGCTACAGAGAAAAGTAAAGCAGGAAGAGGGATAGGAAGGGCCAGCCCGGTGGCGCATGCTACAGTGCGCCGCTTGGGAGCGCGGCGGCTGAGGGTTCGGATCCCACTGGCTGAGCAAGGTGTGGGCGCAACACCGAGGATTGCGATCCCGTTGCCGGTCCGGTCCTGTACGGGCGTGACACTGAGGGTTGCGATCTGTTGCCGGACACGAAAAAAGACAAAAAGGAAAAAAAAAAAAAAGAGGGATAGGAAGTTCTGGGGTATGGAGGTGGGATGTTGCAATTTTCAATAGTATGGATAGGAAATGCTCCCCTGCGAGGGCGACATTTGAACAGAAACCTAAGGTTGGTGGAGTGAATCAACATGGGAGAAGAATGTTCTAGGCAGAGGGAACAATGAGTGCGAATACCCTCAAGTGGGACTGTTCCTGGTGGGTCTGATGGAACAAAAGGAGACCACTGTGGCTGGAGCCTAGTGGGAAAGTCAGCAAGGTGGGGATCATCACACACATATCACAAAGTAAAAGGTGATATAGGGTCTTGAGGGTGACTGTAGCTCTCTGACTTTTATTCTGCTTGAGATGAGAAGTCACTGGGGCTTTGAGCAGAGGGATGACTTGATCTGACCGTAAGGGGTAACGGTGAAAGAGGGGAGACCAGTTGTTTGCCATGATCAAGATTGTTCATTTGTTGAATATTTACTGAGCAATTGCTGTGTACCATGGACTCTTTAGGGAGCTTAGGATATGGTATTGAATAAAATCAGATTCCTGCTTTCTGGAGTTTGCTTTCTAATGGGAGGAGACAGAACAATAAGCAAACAAATGAAAGACAAGTTAGTTTCTGGTGGTGATAAGTGGTTCCAAGAAAATGAAACAGGATGGTATGTGCTAATGGGTTCCCTGTTTTCTACCTGTGGGGACAGAAGCCCATTCTGGAACCCCCCTACATTGAAGCTCATCATCGAGTCTGTACCTACAATGAGACCAAACAGGTCACCGTAAAGCTGCCCAGCTGTGCCCCAGGAGTTGACCCCTTCTACACCTACCCTGTGGCTGTCCGCTGTGACTGCGGAGCCTGCTCCACTGCCACCACTGAGTGTGAGACCATCTGAATCTGGCGTGGTCTGCAGAACGCAGCTGGCGGCCTTGAGCCTCATGGAATCCCCTGCACCAGCAGCACAAGTAGCTACATCCCCCGGATTCAAGGACTTTTTAATTTTGGCCATACCTGTGGAGGAGATTACCTTGTGTCTGGGCACAAGGCCCAGATGCAGCATACTTATACTAAACATGCAAAACAATATTTGTACTTTCACCAAAATAATTTCTCTGATTCATACACTTGCAAATTAATTTTTCTTTGCCTTGAGTCTTGGAACATAATTTGTACATCACAATCTTGCACCAATTTGGACTCGAAATATGCATATGATTTAAATGCATTGGATGTAATTAGGAAATGAGACTAGAAAATCTTTAAATTCTTACATTCTATTTAACCACTGATATCTAACTGGATTTATGATTAAAGGGCTAGAAATTAACAAAATCAATGTACTAATCTTTTTAACCCCAAGGGAAATCCAACTGCAAACCTCCTTAGAGAAAATGCTCCCTTTCCCTTTCAACTGAGCAATTATTGACACAAGAAATATAGACTGCTCAGACTGATAAAGAAGAGGTAATTGATAAAGAGAATAGCTCAAATTAAAGGGTACTTGAATTTGGGTAATTCTTTTCCCAAGCAAAATTCTCTGAATTCCCTTAAGATCCTTAATAAAGAGGCTACTTTGTGATAAAAAAAAAAAAAAAAAAAAAAAACAAATAAGGTACTGAAAGGAAAATTCTTTACTGAGATAAAGGATCTAAACTTTGACAAAAAATAAAGAAGAGGTAATTGATAAAGAGAATAGCTCAAATTAAAGGGTACTTGAATTTGGGTAATTCTTTTCCCAAGCAAAATTCTCTGAATTCCCTTAAGATCCTTAATAAAGAGGCTACTTTGTGATAAAAAAAAAAAAAAAAAAAAAACTCAGAAAAAAAATGTAATCAGAAGCTATCATTTAGGCTTAAAAATTTATGAAATTAAACTCATGTTGCAGGAGTTTGATGTTCTTCCAAAGTTATGGCAAAATGGTCAATCACAAGTATTCTTCCACATTTAGCATATTTTAAATTTAAATTGTAAATTTATTAAACTCAGACATTTTACATATTTGTAGGGACAAAACTGCACTGCTGGCTCAGAGGGAAAACGTCTGTGATTGTCTAGCTCTTGCCCTCTCTAAAATCTTACAGCAGCTGATTCTGTGACTTTCTTTTTTTAACTCTAATGTTATACAAATGTCTTTAATTCTGGCATTTTTGGAGTTGAATTTAACCTTGTTTCTTTTTCATAATATGCCAGGAAAATCAATACTAATGCCAATAAAGCATGTACTCTGTCTTTTGAATTTCTGAAAACTTTCAAAAAAAGTCTTTTTAATCTTTAATACACTTGGAATAACAGCAAGAAGCACATGAAATGAACTACAAGGTTATTTTTACTTAAGCATTAATTTGGGATGTCGTGTTTAGTGAGGGACACAGACAGATGAGTCTGGATAGCATGAGTCCCAAAGGTGGTGCAATCTGCATACATATCCCTGGCCTATCCCAGCTGGGAGACAAGGATCATTCTTTGAATGAAGGATCAATGAGTCCCCATGAAACACAGTAGAGCAAATGCTGGGATTGATGGTCAGGCACTGGGGAGCTGGGATGAATACCTGGGAGCAAAGGGCATGAGCAAAACCCCCATCCATTAGTGGATCTGTTGGTAGGAAAGGAAGTCATGTGAACATAAAATGGAGTCAAGTGCCTGGGGTCTCTGCTGGGACAGTGGGTGATGGTTAGGGATGATGCTGGGTGGTACCACTCTAGTGTTTTCAACTTATCCCCAAGAACTTTCCTCAGGATTTTCTGAGGCAGTAAGTACTTGCCAGAATTTGAGAAAAGATGACCACAGCATTAGTCAGGGTCCTGGCAGGAAACATGATACACACAGTGGGAGATTGAAGAGAGTTTAATAAAAAGACTATTTACATATTGTGGGCAGAGTTAAGGAAACCCACAAAGGCAGGTGAAACACTTCTGGTTTAGAAGCAACGGGCCACCCTAGGCTGAAGGAACAGAAAGAGAGAATGATCATCAGATCCCAAAGAAAACTGTAGGAGAGGGATGTCTGACAGGAGCTATAGCCTTTGCTAGGAGGTTGCAGTCATTACCAAATCGAGGCATGGTGGGGAGGGAGGTGGGGGAGCGAGTACCCCAACCTCACTCTTCTCTCATTCTCTAGTCTTTGGTTGAATCCAATGGGAAGGCAGAGAGCGAGGGAACCCATAGATTCAGTTTGTAAATGTTAGCCTCTTGGGCAGCAGGTTGAAGAAGGTGGAGAGTGGATCTAAGGGGGATCTACATGGATAAAATCCAGCATAGCTTTCTTTTGGGAAGCTCAGCTATAATGCAGTAGGCAGTGAGAGCAGCAAGGCATGCTGTAGCATCACAATTACTAAGACTCCTCTGTGGCGAATTGCTATGGGATATACCCAGACAGGTATGCACTGTTAATACAATGCCCATAACATTTGGGAGATATGAGGACAATAATAATTATAAGGACTGTGAGATTAGCTGCTTGTTAAGAGCAATCAAAGCCTCCCAGGGCACGAGTTGAAAGCTGCATTTGAAGAGACTCTCTTCTAATGCAGCTGGAGGGCAGACTGTGCTGAAAATCAGGCCTAGGATTTGATTGGGAGAGCAGCTGAATTATTAAAAAGGCTGAATATACCACTTGGCAAGTATCCTACACTTATGTCAAGGTCTTGATAGGGAAGGAGTGGAACACAGAGACCTGGAATAGAGAAAATTAGGTGGATGTGCTTGAGGTTCCCCTGCAGAAGAGTTCTACCTGCTCCTCCTTGCCAGAGGGGAGCAGACTCCACTTGCTTGGAGACCGTGCCAAGAAGGATAAATTATATGATGATACTTGCCCTCCTCAAATACTGCCCACAACTCCTTATTAGTTCTAGATGGATAATTAGGGTCAAGTCTCAGAATGATCTGGCTCGGGAAAGACTTGCCCTGCAGGGGGAGGAACAAGATTCTCCACTGAAGGAGTTTCACGACTTGACAATGTAAACCAGTAGGAATTGGTAGAATGTGCTTGGCAATGGATCTTGAAGGTGCTGGACTGAGATGAGAGGAGGAGGGTGGCTGAATATAAGACTGGATAAGAAAAGTTTATTCTTATGGGGGAATTCCCAGGATTTAGCATCGTGTAAGGACCTACCTCTGGTCCCAATGTGCTGTTGGCATGGCTCCTTCAAGCTTTGGGGAAATGGTGGCTTGCATTAATGGAGATAAGATGCCAGAGCTCTCCTGGCAGAGTACCGAGGAACAAAAGGTTAAGAGCTGTGGGACTGCTACAATAAATTTATTACCAAATTTATTGAGACCAGAGAACTCACCAGCTGGCTATATTCACCTGGAGGTTCAGCAACACTCCTTTCACTAAGGCAACAAGGAATGCGCTAGTGAGGGGCATCTGCATCATAGAAAAGTTGGATGGTGGCTGTCCTTTGTATGCTTAAGCTGATGACAGGAGAAGCTGCTGTGGAACTGGGCAACCATGCTAATAAACGTTATTGCTGTTTTACCATTGCCATTTTTTTTTCCAAGTTCATCTCTCCTTCATTTATTTATTATTAATTTATTCACCATTACACAACGTAATCTTTTTTTTGTGGCCCTTTCCCAGTTTCTCACTAAATTATCCTTCCTCCTCCTCCCCCTTTGCTACCTCTGGTGGTCTCAGTTCTGTTCTCTCCTTTTGAAAGTTCAATGACTTATTGTGATTGTTATACTGTTCTTTCTTTTTTAAAATTTATTTATTTTTTTTAGCTCCCTTTTATGGGTGAGGACATGTAGTATATTGTTTTCTGTGCCTGGCTTATTTCACTTAACACAATTATCTGTAAGTTCATCCATGTTGCTGTGAATGGCAGAATTTCATTCTTTTTTATGATAGAATAGTATTTTGTTGCTTATATATACCACGTTTTCTTTATCCAGTCATCCATCATCAGACATTTAGGTTGGTTCCAACTCATAGCTATTGTAAATAGAGCTGCGATAAACATGGGAGTGCAGGTATCCCTTCATGTAGTGGGTTAGAAATCTTGATTCTCCTTTGATCTTAGAATAGGATTTTTAGGTAATACATGAATGAGCCAAAAGGCTCTTGAGTAGGGGACAACAGTCCACAGATAAGGTTGGCAAGAGCCATCTAATCAATTCTAATCACTGTTTAGGGATGGGATTGTGTACTTGGACTATTTTAGGTTGCTGGTTTGATTCCAGCTTGAATGACTATTGACTATTTAACCTATTGATTGTTCTTTAGATATATTAAAAAAACTGCTTGAATGCTGTTTAAATATGCTAAAGAAATGGCTGTAGGAAGTATGTAAAAAATAATTTAATAAGGGCAAGCTGTTTGTTGATGGATCAACTTAGCTTTTTACAAATTGCATTCTGGAATATCACATTGTTAATTTTACTGCTATTACTAGTTTTAGTTGTTTAAAGCTATACTTAGCTCTAATTCCCTTCTGTAACACTGCCTGTTTTTATGTCCTTCTTTGATGATTGAATCAACTGATTTTTCTTGTGAAATTTCCTTATCTTGCAAATAAAAAGAAAGGCTGATTTTGGATCGGGGCTGCTGCTCCCCTGATGGGTGGCAGTCCCTCCAGGCCTCATTGATGGTACTTTGAGTGAATTCTTTCTCTTTTTTTCTGTCTCGGTTACACAGAGGAAAGTGTAAACACCTTCAAAGTGATAATTTCCATTCCTTTGGGTATATGCCCAGTAGTGAGATTGCTGGATCTTATGGCAGTTCTATATTGTAGTTGCTTGAGGAACCTCCATACTGTTTTCCATAATGGCCACACTAATTTACAGTCCTGCCAACAGTGTAGAAGAGTTTCCCTTTCTCGGCATCCTTTCCAGCATTTGTTATTCTTTGTAGTTTTGGTAATGGCCAGTCTAACAGGGGCAACATGATATCTCAGTGTGGTTTTGATTTGCATTTCCCTGATACTTAGTGATGTTGAGCATTTTTTCATGTACCTGTTGGCCACTTGTATATCTTTCTTTGAGAAATACCTATTTAGCTCCTTTGCCCATTTTTTAATTGGGTTACTTTTTAAAAATTTTATTGTTAAGTTGTTTGAATTCCTTGTACATTCTGGATATTAATCCCTTGCTGGATGCAGTTTGTAAATATTTTCTCCA